TGTAATTTAAATATCTATACAGTGAAGATGATGTCGTTAAATGGGCAGCAACACAAGTGGACCCCAGCAAAACATTTGACATATGTGTTTCAAGAGACAGTGTTGTGGAAGGAGGACTGATACTTTGGCAGCGCCAAAAAAATGGTGGCCCTGTGAACCCTTTGAAAGTCTCCTTTCTTGGAGAAATAGGTGTAGACACAGGAGCTCTGAGGAAGGAGTTTCTTACCAGTAAGCCTGTCTTTTTATGTTATTATATACTGTGTACAGTAATATGAACTGAATGTGGACAAGTTATGACGTCAGGAATTGAAGCAATGTGCTCTAATGTGTTTACTTTTTTTTATAGGGCTTAAAAGGCAGTGTTTCATTTATCTTTTGATAATTGGAATTAATCTGAAGGTTTTAGGCCATGTTTTACTTATAATGTGTTTTATTCTGTGTTCATTTAATTTTGTTCCATAGTTAAGGTTGCAGGGATTGAGAGGAGGCTTTTTGAAGGTGACAGTGACAGGGGAAAGATTCCAAAGTACTCGTTTAACGACCTTGATAAACAGTTGTTCAAGTATGTTTTTTACTTATTTGCCAATCTGATGCATGCATTCTTGTTTTAAGGTATGACAAGTAAATAAGACAAATGTATAGTACAGACCAAAAGTTGGGACACACCTTTTCATTCTAAGAGTTTTCTTCATGACGATGAAGGCATCATAACTATGAATTAATATGAATTTAAATACCTTGGGTCGTTCCTGGACAGTCAGCTCAACTTTGCTGAAAACAATGATTATATTTAGAACTGTTTTTGAACAAAAGCCTTGTTGACAGGTGACTTTAATAAAAAATGTGAATTATGCTATGCAACACCTCAGTTAATTGATATTTTCATATTTACAGAGTAGCAGGGGAGATATTTGCTGTGAGTCTAGCCCAAGGAGGACCAGCACCATGTTTCCTACAGGAATGGTGCTACCACTATCTTGTCACTGGAGAAATTGAGACTCAGGGCATGTATGATGCAGAGTTGTCAACTCTCATAACAAAGGTATGTTAAGTTAAACTACATAATCTGTCATTGTCATGTTCAAGATGGTAAAATAACTTTTTAGTAATATAACCAAAGACAGTCCTATATTCTGCACACCATGGAAACGGATAAAAGATGCATCCGACCTTTCTGTGTACTCTGAAGACATACTGGAGTGTGGTTACACCGGCCCGATTGACACTGAGCATATGAACTCTATATTGAGGTAAGTTTTGGATTCAAGTACCATGGCATTGATTACTGCTTTGGATACAATTTATTAGTTTACTAGGGAATGATTTAAGATTGCAGAACACATTTCAATTCAGTCATTTTACCAATTGAATGAATCACAATATTTCTTTCATTGACTATATAGGGCTGTCTCTCTGCATGCAACAACAAAACGCACACCTATGCTGAAACAACTGCGAGAAGGCCTTGGCGTTTACAACTTGATCAATCTAATGGAGAAAAAACCAGATGAGTGTCGCCGTCTTTTTGTTTTTGGACATAATGAGAAGGTACATTGTGAATATATTTAAACTTCATGTGTTTGTTACATCCATTAAGTTTCCCCCACATGTTTAATGTTAGAATATTATTTTTCCTAGGTTGACTCAAATTACATTATGTCACACATTGACCCACAACTGAGTCCACAGGGTTCTAGAAAACAAGCACAGGAGACCAAAATTTTGGAGTACTTTCAAGATTTCTTGTATGAACTTGAAGGTATGTAAAACCCACTGTATGTCCCTGTGAGTAAATATTTTATTCATTTGTAAAGTTTTCAGTTCGATTCAAGTTTCCACTTCAGCCATGAGCAAAACACATAACCCCAAGTAGCTTACTGTTCTGACAATTCTGACTTGGAAAGTATTACACCTAAGCTTATTCCTGCATAGCTCTTGGGAGTTTCCCACATGCCTGTTGACAAACTCTTAGCAAACCCTTTTATTGTGTGCTAGTAAATGCTTTATTATGACATAGAAAAATTTGGAAAATCTAACAATGCCAAGAGTGCAGAACACTTCAATTTTCAATTTCAATTAATACATATCAGTTTAATTATGTAGTAGAATCATGATTAACTGTTTTTTGGATTGCAACCTCTTTTAGCCCAGTAGCGGGTGAATAATTTAATTTAATTTGTTTCTACATTGACTCAACCTTATTAAAATGTAGAAGCCTCACATTTTAAAGTTTATTTTTATTTTAAAATTGCCCAAATAATGTTTAAGGCATCAAATAGTTACCTGAGCACATACATAACGTTTTTCTGTATGTGTTCAGGTAAATGAAAAATGTTTCATAAAACATAAAAACTAGTCGAATACAAAACAGCATGATGGTCAATAAAATATAATCCTTAACATGATGCATGTTTAAGAGGTTTGTAATTCCCAGAAAAAGCAAATGATTAAAAGAAAATGAAATTACTTTACTATTACTGGCAGATTGTGCTTAATTTGTCAAAAATACTTATTATTTGAATGACAAATTAACAATGTTATTAATATTTTTATAGATGCAGAACAAGCTGACAACGAAGAAGTGCTGACTCTGACTGTTCCAATGGTGATGCAGTGGATGACTGGGCAGGCACATAAACATTTGCTTGTATCAGAAAGAAATACATTTAAAGTCACTGATTTTTGATCACCATTGCCTAGAGCATACACCAGGCCACACTGTGTGCTATCCTGTAGTAAGTGCTTGTACCAGCACAGTGACATTTCCAATGGCCCATCTAAGTGATTATGAGTCCTTCAAGAGTAACTTCAGTACTGCTGTCACATATGGATTCAGCTTTGAGAGACTGTAGGTCAGGAGGTATATCAAAGTGGTTATTGTTGGACCAATAGTTCAGACCTAGCTTAAAAAAACACATTTTACGCTGTTCAAAGACCAGTATTTCCTGAGTTAAGGAAATTTTAATATTTCTTCAAATTACACAGAATCACAGTGCCATCTATTACTACAGTGTAATGTAGTACATTACAGTACATCTGTTATTACAGTGCCTCATATTGTTACTTTTTCTAATGTAATTCTCTGTGATAGTTTTAAGAAAATGTTGCATTTCTTTATTGTCCTTATAGCATTTATAAAGTAGGAATAAACATGACATCCTAACCCTTTAATGGATTAATGTAATTGTAATGTTCTTCAGAACAAGGAAACCGAATTTACTCTACAGCAAACCTGAAGTTGAAAATCTTGCACTAAAATATCTTGGCGTGTTAATAAGTGATTTGATTTGAACATGTACTATGGTCACTCACCAAAAACTTTGAAAGAAATAATTTTGTTAATGACATCAATTGCTTCTATTTATTTTTGTTCCATTGCTGCTGTAATTACAAATTGTCTAATTTAGGGGAATGGTGCTTTTGGTGCTCTGGCATTTTGCTTGTAGCTCAGAGTCTGAGAGGCTTGTCCTCTATCAAACAATTTTTATTTTGGCCTCTTAGTGGAAATGTTGATGACACTTACTGATAACCTTTTTAAACCTTTATAGCTCCACTGTTGAAAATGAGGCTCTAACATTCACAAATGACAGTGATGTTGAACCAGTCCAACATCTGGTTTGAGGTGATTCCTCTGGAACATGTTGGAAGAAAAATATCCCAACTTCAGAAGATGAGCTTTAACCTAACAGAGCTCTGAGGTTCCTCCTGTCAGTATGAGAGTCAGGATGAGGAGGCGCCATGTTAGGAAGAGAAGTGGAAGCTGCAGGATCTTTAGAACAAACAAGTCATGATGCTAGGTCTACTGATTATCCCTCTGTCTGGACACAGGATCAATAGAACCAGTTTAAAAGCTAAAATTAATGGTTATATGCTAGACATGGAAAACTGGGATGCACTCCATGCCATGGTGTTCAGAATTATTTACATATAAATAATCAGCTCAGTTAGATATAAACAATGCACCTTTTTCATTTTTAACCTTAAGAAAAAGGTGATATTGAATCGAGCTGTTATGACTCAGATTTTGGGTGTCCATCTCCCTCTGCTGCATCGTTGTGGAAAACCTGGAGCAGCAGAGATATCTGAGGCTTAGATGTGTATGTTTACCGTTTCTTTAACAAAAAAAAACAGTGGAGTTGTGGTTCATAGTCTGGTATTTTCATATTTCTGAAAATAAAAACTATAATCCTT